TCCCCTCCCCCCCCCCCCCCCCCCCCCCCATTTCAGAGACTATCTGCAGCCTCCCCCATCTCAGTCTTTCACCCCAGGCCAGAGACTCTGTGTCCCCCATTTTTTCTCCATGCTAAGGTTTTTGTGTGTGTGTCTTTTTCCACAGAGTCACATACTTCATTGCTTTTATTGGCTAAGCTGAATCCCTTCTCCTTCCCATTCCAGATCCCTGCTTCCCACCCTACTGGTCTCCAAGTCCCTGTTTCCCTTTCCTCTCCACACAGTGCACTCATCCCTGCTTACACCCCTGGCAGCATTAAGAGGGAGCTCTTGGGGAGGAGTGGGGGTGGGAGACAGGGAGAGCTGAGTAGGAAAGAGAAAGCAAAGACCAAGGTGAGAGGGGAAGGGGTGGAGATGGGCAGGAGTGATGTGGGAATTGGGGGAATGGAGGTGGAGAGAAAAAAGGGACCTGGTCCTAGAGGGGAGGGAATGGAAGTTGTGTGGCATGGAGAAGCAGAGACCTGGAATTGAATAGTGGAGCAGGGGAAGGGAAAAGAAGGGACGGCGGGGGGAGGCAGAAACATGGAGGTGGGGGGTGGGGTGAAGATAAAGCAGGGATCTCCAGCCCAACCTACAAAAGACATGAAGTAATCTCCTCAGAGCTGGCCGGATTCCTTCTTGCACGAGGTGGAAGTGTCCAGGGTGCCCTGTAATGGTGCTGAGCGAGGAGAGGGTGGAGGTGCCACTGCTGTGTGGGGAGCTGAGTTTGTCTGTCTGTCTGTCTTTGAGTTTTCAGATTTTCACCAGAAATCAGTAGGCTTCTGCCTAGAATATATAGATTAGATTTGGTTTTCAGGCATTAGCAAACAGAGAAATGCCATCCAGTAGTTGAGTGTATAGGGTCTTGCTTCACTTGTCCAATTACTAAATACAGGTAAAGCATTTATTGGCAGAGAGAACATGCTAGAGCAGGGCTCAGTGCTTATTAATCTCTTACACCACATGTCTGTGTACAAACCCAAGACGGCTTGGTAGGTAGAAATAGTGAGGGTTAGTCCAAAGGGCTTGCTCATATTGCTCAGCCTCATGTGATCTTAGACGGGAACAGGTCATTTCTGTGCCCAGCTGCAGAAGAAGGATAATTATACTTCCTTACCAAACAGTGAGGCTTAATTAATACACATTTATAAAAAAATGTTTTGATGTCCTCAGATGCAGGCTGCTAAATAAATGCTAAATATTAATACTGAAGTCATACTTATATTCCTGGGACTGACTGAAATTGTAAAAAGTACCTTGAGATCTGGTCTTCTATAAACAGATGATACTTTACCCAGCAATAAAATACAGATGCTTCTGTGGTGCAAGGGGAAAAGAATGCAAGATCTAACTCATGTGCTGAATGTAATAACCCTAGTGGTTCCTGATCAGTAAATACCCCAATAAAAGATTCTATCACAGAATTTCTAAGAGTTTTTGTTGCAGATAGGCCAGGGAAAAGCCAGAAAAAGATACACAAATTGCAAATCACAATTTGCGTATCTTTTTCCGCTTTTCTTCCGAAAGAGTCTTTTCCAACATTTGTCCCATCTACATGGAGCCAAATGTTGGTGGGGGGGAAAAGGATCTTTCGGAACATCCCTTCTTCCTCATAAAACAAGGTGAACAGGGATGCCAAAAAAAGCGTCTGCTTTTCTGAATTTTTTTTCAGAAAAGCAGATGTGTTCCTTGGACATGGCAGAGCTTTTCCGGGATATCGGAAAAGCTCTACCCTATAGACATAGCCAAGGACGCCTAACACAGGTATGCCTCAGGCACAACCATCCTGGAGATTTTTTTTCTGTGCTAATGATCTACTAAACATTTGCTCATTGCTGTGCGATGTATAGGATTGCTCATGATCTCTGAGTCTGCAGATATAGTGAACTCTGCTCTCTGAGGAGGGAAGGGGAGGGCTACTGTTGGGGGTAAGGACTGGATACCTAGGCGTCTGCTGTTTTACAGAGCCATATGACTTGGACTTAGTTCCATCAAAATGTTTCATGCTATGGGTAAAAGTACATAATTTCCAACAATAGCCTAAGCCATTTTAAAAGCATTTGCTAAATGCTCCATCCTTTGTTCCTAGGGTCTAACTAAAACAATCTCCATTGAGAGAGTGGGCAGCTAGATACTGTGATGGAACCTTAACAAATACTGTAGACAGACAGACAGAACAAGGTCCCTCTCAGAACAGTAAACATGATAAAATAGTGCCTTGCTAATACGCTTATCTGATGTGAAATCCTTTTGTGGGTGCTTTCTCTAGATGTCTCCCTCAAAAGTTTCCCTGACCGCCAGAATACATAAGGCATTACTGCAACCAGCATTCCTTATGTGGATGTAATCTGGATCAGAACAGAAATTAGGGCTCATAAAAAGTTTCAGAATACAGCAGGTAAAAATATTCTCAGATGAGCTTCCTGGAGGTACAGCATGCACATAAACATTTCAGCTGAAAATTGCCAAACTATAGAGTGAATAAAAATGTAGCAACAAGTGCAAGTTTTGGGTTCAGCCCCAGGAATCTGGGCTCTTAAAATAACTGCACATAGGACATTGATAGAATTTAAAGTCTCTTTACTCCAGTAGCAGGCCAAAGACAATCTGACATAACACAGCATCTGTTTCTCCTACTTCCTCTTTTACTTGATCTTAGGTCACAAGTACTATAGGGTTAACCACACTTGCTTGAGATATAAAATAGAGTAAATGATTGCTAGGGGTGATGGTCAGGTAACTGTTATCAGACAGCGAATGTAGATTGCTAATATAATTTCCTTAGTGTACATGGTGATTAGTCTATCCATGGGTGCTTAGCCCCAGGCTCATAGCATAGAAGTCATATGCAGTCCTGATGCTCCAAGAACATCTTTGGGACAGCTACAAAATCCCAATTTTTCATTTCATTAATCAAACTCCAAAACGTTTGTTCAAGAATATTACTATACTATAACGAATAGTCTAGTAGCACCTTAAAGACTCACAAAATAAGTAGATGGTATCATGAGCTTTTGTGGGCAAAACCCACTTCTTCAGATGACTAGAGTATTAAAAGTCCAGATCCAAAAATAAATAAGGGAAAGGGGGGATGGAGGGGCGAAAAAAGACAATGAATAGATTAACTTAAAAAACAACAAATGGTCTGGTAGCACTTTATAGACTAACAAAACATGTAGATGGGATCATGAGCTTGCGTGGGCACAACCCATTTCTTCAGTCTTTAAGGTGCTACTAGACTATTTGTTGTTTTTTAAGTTTTTCCTGTTACAGACTAACTCAGCTACCCTTCTGAAGCTAGTGAATAGATTGTTCAAATTACAAGAGGCTGAAAAGAACAGTTAGCACCCCTATTGTCTTTATGGCTTGACCTCAGCTCTCACACCCTGGAGCCCTTACTCTGCTTACGCTACATTGATGACACCATCATATGGATTGACAGGAAAGAGACCCATGAGGAATTTCACAGGGATTGCAACAACTTCCACCCCACCATCAACCTCAGCCTGGATCGATCCACTTCCTTGATACTATAGTACAATTACATGATGGACAAATTTCCACCGCCCTATACCGGAAACCTACCAACTGCTATGCTTACCTTCATGCCTCTAGTTTCCATTCCAGACACACATCTCTAGCCACACTCTAACATTTAACCAGATTTGCTTCAATCCCACAAAGACAAACACCTACAGGATCTATATAGAGCATTCTTAAAACTGAAATATCCACCCAGAGAAGTGAAAAAAAAGATTGACAGAACTAAAAGAGTACCCAGACATGAACTACTTCAAGACAGGCCAAAAAGAGAAAATGGAATTCTACTTGTCATCACCTACAGTCCACAACTTAAATCCCTCCAACGCATTATCAACAATCTACAAACTATCCTGGAAAATGACCCCTCACTCTCACAGGCCTTGAGGAAAAGGCCAGTCCTCACCTACAGACAACCCCCTAACCTCAAACAAATTCTTTCCAGTAACCATGCAATATATCTCCATCATAATCATCCTGGAACCCACCCCTGAAATCAGCTGTGGTGCCAACTCTGCCCACATATCTACACAAGTGATTTCATCAGTGGACCCAACAACATTAGCCACTACGTCAAGGGCTCATTTAACTGCACATCCACTATTGTGATCTATGCCATCAAATGCCAGCAATGCCCCACTGCAATGTATATTGGCCAAACTGGACAGTTTCTACGGGAAAGAATTAATAGACATCAATCAGATATCCAAAAAGGCAACACACAGAAACCTGTTGAGAACACTTTAATCTTCTTGGACACTCATTAATGGATCGAAGTCACCGTGTTGTTTCAGGCCAATTCCACAAGCCAAATACACAGAGAAGGGATGGAACTTTAACTTCATTTACAAGTTAAATTCTTGTCAGATTGGAATGAACAGAGATATCAGCTGGCTCCCACACTACCTTCCACATCCTAATGACTTCACCAACCAACCAAACTCTGGAGGTGCTAATTGTTCTTATCAAACTCGTGTAACTTGAATAATCTATTCACTGTCTTTTTTCCCCCTTCCTTTCCCAGCCCCACCCTCCTTCCTTCTTTATTCTTGGATATCTGGATTTTTAATACTCCAGTCATCTGAAGAAGTGGGTTTTGCCCACGAAAGCTCATGATACCTTCTACATGTTTTGTTAGTCTTTAAGGTGCTACTAGACTATTTGTTGTTTAAGTTTTTCCAGTTACAGACTAACTCAGCTACCCCTCTGAAGCTTATACTACATACAATTTGTTGCGTTTATTAGGAACAAACCATCTAGTGGAATAAATGTGCAGTACGTTAAACAGTATTTGGAGTGAAGAGAAAAGTCAAATGAGCAAAGACACTCTCAGAACTGTTATTTTGTTTAAGGTGAATATGAGCGGCACTTGTTCCTAGTTTCATGATGAACACATTCAAATACAAAGTTACTATGGAAGAAAATCCTTCTCTCCAAGAACTATGCCCAGGTCTCTGCTGACATTTTTTGTTTTTGATATTTTATACCAGCATACATTTAAAAAAAGAGCACACTTGTCTTTGGTATCAGTATTTTTAATCCTTAAAAAAAAATTGCCACAAAGTGCCTCAGATCATGAATTTAAATGTATGATCCTGTACCTTTATCCCTACCTTCCAGTTTGAGAGGATTCCCTAGAGCTGAATGGAGAGCTAAAAGTGGGGCAAACTAGTAAAAAATGTTGGGTTCCAAACTCTCTCACATCAGCAAAATGCAGTGACCTTTCTGAAACTGTAGAGTGGCGTCACCACAGTCCTGTGCTTTTCAACAGCAATAGGAACAACCTCACCCCTGGTTTTATATTAAAGACCCAAATCTGGCTATGCAGAGTGGTGTGACATATTCTCTCTGTTTATTAGTAATCTGAATGACACAGAAGACTATGAGAGAACACCCTGGCCAGCTAGAGATTAATATCTACCATGTTTGCAAAGGGTCATTGAATTTATAAAAGTTTTGCTCTCAGCTGGTGAAGGGGTGTTAACAGCTGTGATGAAATATAAATTATGACTTTGTTTTTACACAGAATAATTTGGCAGATGCTGTGACACTGGATGGTGGTGCTATTTATCAAGCTGGTAAAGAACATAATCTGAAACCTGTGGTTGGAGAAGTCTACGATCAAGGTATGTGTACACAAAAGAATTGAGGTTTACGGTCTAATCTCTGGGCAAGGACTGTGTCTTCCTACATGTTTATGCAGTGGTTATAAATGAAGGAAGGTCACAGTGTGGTGATATCTAAGGGAAAGGAAACTGTCCTTTCATCAAAACAGAAATTTATTTTTCCTAAAACAACTATTAGCTCATTCTGAAGTCAGAGAGGAAAGGAAAATGACCAGATAGAGGAGCCAGAAGTGTGATTTGTTACATGCAGAGGTGGATTAAGATTTATTCAGGCTCTGGGCACACCCTAGCGGTAAAGGCCCCCCATAGCCAAAGGGTGCCAGAAAAGAGAGGGGGCAAGGAGGACCACGCGCCCCTCCCCCCCACACTTTTTAACATGGACGTAGGTGCAGAGTGGGGATGGTAGGGTCTGTGCTTTGTAGTGGGCAGATCAGCTCTCCTGCTGTGAAGCACACTCTCTGCTAGTGGCACCCATCTTTTCCTGGTAACCTTGCCCCATACTCTGCTCTTCCTCTTCCTTCTGAGGCTCTGCCCTCTGGCCAGCCCAGAATCTGGAGCCAGACCAGGGAGTCCTGCACTCACCACCTGCACTCTTGGGCACCCTGTGCTCCCAGGACAGTCAGAGAGTCTGGAGCTCCCCACAATGGCATGGGCTCCATGGGTGGCTCTTAGCATGGCCTGGTTTTGGCTTCTGGCCTGGCCAGGGGTTGAGAAAGAGAAGGAGCATGAGGCAGGGTCACAGTTCGGGCACTGGTACCCAGATCCCTGCTACAGAGGTTCTAGCACTCTTTTGGTGGCTCCCTAATTGTCTGGAGCCCCTAGTCATGGGTCCCACAGCAGGAGGTTGGCAGGAGAAATGCTCCATTCTATTTCCCTTACTCCTTGTGAGGAGTAGGAGCATCGACGGGGTGGAGGATTCCCTCAGAATTCCAGTTATCAGGTTGTTACTAGAACCCACTAAATCGAACCCCAGAAAGATTGATCTCTGAGGCATCCCATCCACAGGTAGTATAGATGTGGCCTCAGATAAGTACAGACTGTAAAATCTGACCACCTGTCCCTGTTTCACTGAGAGGGAACTCAGGCACAGCCTTTGTCTACATTAGCATGTTCCTTCAGTTATCCCTATTTCCATGGTAACATGATGGGACTGCTAGTGTAGGCAGCCCACTAGCATTTTAACTTCCCCTTTCCTCTTTCTTAGCTAAAATCAGCTCTTCAAAGACACTGGCAGTTCTTCTTTGAGTGGGTGCTCATGTCCATTTGCGTGAGGTGTGCGCACGCCGTATGCGCAGTTCCTGGAGCGTTTTTTCCCCCAGCGGTACTTGTCGGGCCTGCAGGTTGCCCCCCAGAGTGGCACCGCTACAGCAGAGCATAAGTACCCCTGCGAGCGCTCCCCCTGCTCAGTTCCTTCTTACCGCCCATGACGGTCGTTGGAGCTTTGCTGTCTCGTACAGATCCCAGCTAGGATAGTTTGTTCGCCCGTTGGCAGTTAGTTCGTTATTGTTGTTTGTGTATTGTAGCTGTTAGGTACTTAGTTAGAGAGGGAGAGGGTGATGCCAGGTCCACACAGCTTTTAACCTTGTGTGTCCTGTGCTAAAGGGAGACCCCCACGATGCTTGTCTAAAGTGTCTGGGAGAGTCCCACCTTACAGACTCATGCAAAATTCGCCGTGGGTTTAAACTGTGTACGTGGCGGGAAAGGGATTCCTGCTTAAAGCTGCTGCTTATGGAGTCAGTTCTCCAACCAGCACCATCTAGAGAGCCCGCGGTGTGCAGTGCACCAGCTTCAGTGCCGGAGGCGCAACCGGGATCCTCCCGTACCGGGGTACCGAAGACGTCAGCACCGAGGCACCGGTAGCAGTCTCCGGCTCCAAAGGGTGAAGGACTCCAGGGGAAGATCACCCAGCCATAAGGCACATAGGGACTGGCACCGGCACCATCGTTCTCCAGGCCTGGACTCTCCTGGTACTAGTTTTAGGGGCACGCAGAAGAGGAGGACTGACCCACCCTGGAGACTGGCGCACTCCACTCTGGAGACATTCGAGGCAGCTCGTGAGTTCATCGGGCTGACGGCCTTGCCTCCATCCCCCCCCGTCCTCCAGGGGCCATGGTGGCACCAGTAGCTTCCTTTAAACCGGGGGCCTGGTCAGCACCAGTAACTTTGGAGGCACGGGCATTGCTGCCGGCACCGTCGTTGGTTGCGGAGTCAGTGCCTGCACCGACGGCGTCGATGAGGGCACTGGTGAATCACCGCACTGCACCGGTGGGGGCTGCTCCACTACTGGCACCAGCACCTGCGCCGGCATCCGCAGCAGCACCTGCACCGGTACCTGCACCAGCAATGCTAGCACCGGCGCCTGCACCGGCACCAACAGCACTGTTAGCATCAGACCCTGTTTTCGGTTTGGTACAGCAGTTGCCCGGCACCAGGGTCCCGGCACGGCTATTATTGCACCTGCCTGTACAAACCCATGTGGGAAAGCTGGAGTCCATGGCTCAGTACAGGCCTACTCTCACTCCTGGGCAGCCTGTCACGGCACTGCCCTGGTTGGCGTCAGACTTTTCGAAGAGTCGCTGCGCTCTGCGAGTTCGTCTCGGGTTTCATCCCAGTACCGCTCCCGTTCTTGGCACCAGCTGGTGCCACAGGAGTTCCAGCAGATGTGGCCCCCGCAGGCTCAGCTGGCCTGGCCTTTTTGGATGCCCCAAGCGGTACTTGTCGGGCCTGCAGGTTGCCCCCCAGAGTGGCACCGCTACAGCAGAGCATAAGTACCCCTGCGAGCGCTCCCCCTGCTCAGTTCCTTCTTACCGCCCATGACGGTCGTTGGAGCTTTGCTGTCTCGTACAGATCCCAGCTAGGATAGTTTGTTCGCCCGTTGGCAGTTAGTTCGTTATTGTTGTTTGTGTATTGTAGCTGTTAGGTACTTAGTTAGAGAGGGAGAGGGTGATGCCAGGTCCACACAGCTTTTAACCTTGTGTGTCCTGTGCTAAAGGGAGACCCCCACGATGCTTGTCTAAAGTGTCTGGGAGAGTCCCACCTTACAGACTCATGCAAAATTCGCCGTGGGTTTAAACTGTGTACGTGGCGGGAAAGGGATTCCTGCTTAAAGCTGCTGCTTATGGAGTCAGTTCTCCAACCAGCACCATCTAGAGAGCCCGCGGTGTGCAGTGCACCAGCTTCAGTGCCGGAGGCGCAACCGGGATCCTCCCGTACCGGGGTACCGAAGACGTCAGCACCGAGGCACCGGTAGCAGTCTCCGGCTCCAAAGGGTGAAGGACTCCAGGGGAAGATCACCCAGCCATAAGGCACATAGGGACTGGCACCGGCACCATCGTTCTCCAGGCCTGGACTCTCCTGGTACTAGTTTTAGGGGCACGCAGAAGAGGAGGACTGACCCACCCTGGAGACTGGCGCACTCCACTCTGGAGACATTCGAGGCAGCTCGTGAGTTCATCGGGCTGACGGCCTTGCCTCCATCCCCCCCCGTCCTCCAGGGGCCATGGTGGCACCAGTAGCTTCCTTTAAACCGGGGGCCTGGTCAGCACCAGTAACTTTGGAGGCACGGGCATTGCTGCCGGCACCGTCGTTGGTTGCGGAGTCAGTGCCTGCACCGACGGCGTCGATGAGGGCACTGGTGAATCACCGCACTGCACCGGTGGGGGCTGCTCCACTACTGGCACCAGCACCTGCGCCGGCATCCGCAGCAGCACCTGCACCGGTACCTGCACCAGCAATGCTAGCACCGGCGCCTGCACCGGCACCAACAGCACTGTTAGCATCAGACCCTGTTTTCGGTTTGGTACAGCAGTTGCCCGGCACCAGGGTCCCGGCACGGCTATTATTGCACCTGCCTGTACAAACCCATGTGGGAAAGCTGGAGTCCATGGCTCAGTACAGGCCTACTCTCACTCCTGGGCAGCCTGTCACGGCACTGCCCTGGTTGGCGTCAGACTTTTCGAAGAGTCGCTGCGCTCTGCGAGTTCGTCTCGGGTTTCATCCCAGTACCGCTCCCGTTCTTGGCACCAGCTGGTGCCACAGGAGTTCCAGCAGATGTGGCCCCCGCAGGCTCAGCTGGCCTGGCCTTTTTGGATGCCCCAGGCCTATCATCAGTGGCAGGCCCCGATGCCACCCTCACGTATGTCCAGTGTCTCTCAGAGAAGGAGCACACTGTCTGCCTCGCTGTCAAGGCCTCCTCCATCCTCCCAGGTGGACAGCCCACAGAGGCAAGGGGAATTAGGGGAAGTGCCTCCAGTGGCTACTCCACAACCCACTTGTGTGGAACCCCAGCAGCCGGTCCACTCTGCAGAGATGATGGAAGAACCCAGACCTGTTTGGGAGTCCTCATCATCATTGTCCCCCGATGAGGCCCTGGCAGAACTGGCCCCATCTATGCCGGCAATGAACGCCAGGTCCCATCAGGAACTGCTCCGTAGGCTGGCAGCTAATCTGGAGATGCCGGTGGAGCCGGTGACTGAGGATTCCGACTCTATGGTCGACATCCTCACTGAGAATGCCCCCGCAAAGTTGGCCCTGCCGCTTAACAAAACAGTGGCTAAGATCACTGCTGCCTTGTGGTAGACACCGGCATCCATAACCCCCATGCTTAAGGGATTCGAGAGGAGGTACTACATTCTGCAGCAGGGCACAAGCACCACTATTCCCATCCAGTTCCAGGTTCGCTGGTGGTCCAAGCGGCAGTGCAAAAGGGGCTAATGCTAAGGCCAGGGAGACAACGCACCTGGACTTGTTGGGACTCAAGGTTTATGCGACTGGTGGAGTCCAACTGCACATTGCTAACCAGCAGGTGAGGTACAGCAGTGAGGTCTCAGACACTATGCCTATATAACACCTGGCAGGTGATGGATAAGTTCCGGGACAGGCTGCCCCAGGATGGTAGGCAGGAATTTGCAGCTATGGCTACGGAGGGTAGGACTATCGCCCGTACAGCCCTGCAAGCTTCCCTCGGTGTGGTGGACTCAGCGGCTCAGACCATGGCATCTGGCGTGGTCATGCACCGCAGTTCCTGACTACAGGTGTCAGGGATCCTGGTTGATGTCAGTCCACAATCCAGGACTTGCCCTTCGATGGGAAAGCCCTATTCTCTGAGCACAGAGACTCCAGGCTGCATAGCCTGAAGGACACAAGGTCTACGCTTAGGTCACTAGGCATCTACACTCCAGCACCTCAGAGGAGGCAGCTTCTGAATAGACAGCCGGGGAGGCCTCGGTTCCAGGTGTCTCAACCGAAGTACTGGAGGCGTAGGCCTCGTGCTCCTAGTGGGGGTTTTGGCAGTGCAGCAGATGTCGTGGCTGCCCTTAACAGACATCGCCGCCCACGGGTGGACACGGTTAGTGGCGTTAGTCCGAAGGTCCGAAACGTTTACACGCCCAAACATCAAGTCCCTCCAGCGTGGCTTATCTATGGCTAACACAGCCTGAGCATGCTTGCTCGCAGGGGGTGCAGGCGGTTCTGCTGGGTAGCAGGAAACCGACTATCAGGTTGTCCTATGCTGCCAAGTGGAAAAGGTTCTCCCTGTGGGCTTCCGGGAATGGCATAGATCCATGTCTGGCCCCTCTTCCAGTGGTACTGGACGACTACTTCGACCTGCGTCAAGGAGGCCTGTCTACCTCATTGCTCAGGGTGCACTTAGCGTCCCTGTTAGCTTTCCACCCGGGGTTTGATGGCAGAGCCCTGTTTACGAAGCCGGTAGTCAAAAGGTTTCTAAAGGAGCTAGATAAGTTGTTCCCTCACATGCGGGCACCTGTGCCTCAGTGGGATCTGAACTTGGTGCTCACCAGGCTTATGTCCCCACTTTTTGAGCCCTTGGCCACATGTTCCCGTAAGGTAGTGTTTTTAGTAGCCATTACCTCGGCACGCAGGGTGTCTGAGCTTCGTGCCCTGACGGTGGAACCACCGTATTTGGTGTTCTCGGCGGATAGGGTCAGACTACGCCCCCACCCAGCGTTCCTCCCCAAAGTGGTACTCATCATTCTATATGTCTCAAGACATATATTTATCCGTTTTCTTTCCAAAGCCACACTGCTCCCCTAAGGAGTAAGCTTTATATACCCTCGACGCAAAAAGGGCGTTAGCCTTTTACATAGACAGAACGAGGCACTTTCGCAAATCGTCTCAGTTGTTTATTGCTTTTGTGGAAAGCATGAAGGGGTTGCCGGTATCGGTGCAAAGGTTGTCCACTTGGAGCTCTTCAAGTATATGGGCGTGTTATGCGCACAGAAAGCCGCCCCAGGTTAAGGCACACTCCACTAGAGTGCATGTGTCCTCCACAGCCTTTGGGGCGCAAGTTCCGATACTTGAGATTTGTAGAGCGGCCATGTGGTCCTCTGTCCACACGTTTACGTTGCACTACGCGCTCACCCAACAGGCCGGGGATGCTGTTGCTTTGGGTTCTGCTGTTCTCGGTTCAGTTCTGTTAAAAAAAAAAGGGGGGGGGGGGTTATATATCGTATGGATGATATAAATACCTCACTTGCGTTCCTTTATTATGTAATGTTATTCAGTTAAATAAATTTCTGGTTGGTTGTTCATCACCCTTGAGTTGTGTCTCATTAGGAGTGTATCTCCAACCCCACCTCCATATGGTTTCAGTTCGGGAGTCGCCTCATTTGAATGGACATGAGCAACCACTCGAAGAAGAAAACAGGGTTACTTACCTGTAACTTGTTCTTCGAGATGTGCTGCTCATGTACATTCGATTCCCCCCCTACCTCCCCTTCATCAGCGTCGCCAGGAAGAAGGAACTGAGGAGGGGGAGTGCCGGCAGGGGTACTTATGCTCCACTATAGCAGTGCCATTCCAGGGGACGACCTGCCAGCCCGACGGGTACCGCTGGGGGAAAAACAGGGTTACTTACCTGTAACTTGTTCTTCGAGATGTGCTGCTCATGTACATTCGATTCCCCCCCTACCTCCCCTTCATCAGCGTCGCCAGGAAGAAGGAACTGAGGAGGGGGAGTGCCGGCAGGGGTACTTATGCTCCACTATAGCAGTGCCATTCCAGGGGACGACCTGCCAGCCCGACGGGTACCGCTGGGGGAAAAACCGCT